GGCATACTTCCCATCTCAAAGGAATTTGACTTTGTCAGTTCGGTTCCCAAAGAAGCAAGTCTAAAGACCACGATCTTTTTATTAGTTATGTGATCTTCCTGAAGTATTCTTGAATGATCATATGGTGTAATAAGTCTGTAACTAAAGTTACTGTTTCCATGGGTCAGGGGTTGGGAGGTAGAATGATGTGTGGATCTCACAGGACAAGTGTTTGGATTTTAAAGAATATTGGCATAATTTAATTCTACTGCTAAGATGACCCTGGCTCCAAAGGCCAGGACGCTGTTTCTATTTTTTGTTTCCAATCAATGCCCCCTCAGCAACTTGGAAATGATTTCTATGGGATAGACCAAAGCTTCCTAGTAGAAAGAGCACTATGCAGGATTTTCAGAAGAGATTCAACAGGAAGCCACAGCACCAGTCTTGCAGTCCAATAGTGCTCTGCAAATGGCTTGCAGGTCTCTGAGTGGATAGAAATGGCAGATAACATTTTTCCTGGCACACCACTTATACCTCTGTTGTATCACTCATCCTCCTTGCAGATTGTAATTCTTTCCCAGTGCCTCATAGTAGTCCCTGTGGTCATTTGTGTGTGGTGCTTTTCCTTTCCTTTCTTAGATAGATACAATGCTTACTAATGAATTTACTAATGAAAATCTTTAGCTCGCCAGGCAAAGTGGAGCACATCTGTAATCCTAGCACCTAGGAGGTTGAGGCAGGATGATCATGAATTCCAGACTCACCTGGGACAAAAGAAGAAAAAAAAGTAATCTTTTTTTTTTTGTCTCCCATACAGCAGATTTTATTAAATGAATTAATACAACAAATGAACAAACACATTAAAACACACACACACACACACACACACACACACACACACACACACACACAAAACTCTGTGGAAGGAGTTTCTCTTTTATTACTAGTCAGTGTAGTAGTCACCAGTCAACAGGAAAATGCTGTTTTCTCTGCTATTCTGTTATAGACCTAGAATCCTTCTCTCTACCACTCTCGGCTGGGGTAGAAGGAAGGATTTACATTCTTTTTTGCTTTAGGATTCTTTATGTCAACGATATTTTTTAACTGAGACTTGAAACATGAGTATCAAATTCATGATTTTGGTGTTTCGTTAACCATTTTTCACCACTCCTGCCTGCCCCTTAGATGTAAACATAAAGCTTCACCTTCCCTTCCCTGGGGTGCATGCTTTTACTCTCCACAAAGTCTGCATGTGGGGCTGCTGAGATGCCTCAGTAGTGAAGGCCTCTGGCAACCTAAGTTCAACCCTTGGAGCCCCACAAAGTTGACTTGTAACCTCCACGTGCCCACCCATACACAGATATCAGGCACACACATCCACAAGTATAAGAAATAAAATACACACACAGAAGAAGCCTACATGTGTTATGTTATTAATTCACAGTTCTCAGCTAGGTCCTTGTGAAGAGTAACCAGGTAGTTTCAGTCCAGTTGTTCAAGAATAGCACATCCCATAATCATGAAAGGCAACAAGGCCAGCAAGCTAACTACACAGCTACAAAAGAATCATGCTTCAATAAACTAAGACCACTCTGGTCTACCCTGTCCATGTTCATGAAAGGAAAATTTCATTTTGCCTCTAGAATCACAAACCTATCTAGTGTATAATGTACAGCTACTATCCTGACAAAATGTAGCTGTTTGGCTTACCCGGTAGAGTCTGCTTGATAGCTACAGATCAGTTCTAACTCAATTGTTACAGTAGCAGTGTCTATTAGTAAGTCAGTCATCTGCCAAGACACACCTACCCATACTTCAATCACAATCAGAGAGGGCTAGGGTTGTAGGTCACAGTGGAGAACATTTGCTTAGCATGCATAAGGCTCTGGATTTGATTTCCACTGCTTAATAGCCACCTCTCAAAGAATATGACTTTGGGAACTAGGATCTCCTAGATTTTTTCCCACACTGAAAAGAGAACACTTAACTTTGCTCCTTTCCCCCAATGGCTCCAAATTTAAAATAAAGAATTACTGTGGCATGGCAGACAGTATGTTTAATAATAATTTCTCATAGTCATTAGTGGGCTGGAGAAGTAAAATTTATTTCATTGTAAACCCATCAGGGAAAAAGATCCCAAGTCATCCATAGGACTGATCAGTATTTTGATGGTTTCCACTTCCAGAGGTTACACACAGCTGTTTGTTCTTCACCTTTGCGGCTCACACTCACCCTCCCTCTGTGTTACAGGGCTAAGAACACCAGGCAGTGTTTGATTCATCATGGTAGTTTCTCTCCAATTATTCACTTCAGACTCAAAAGAGACTGATATAAATCTACATCCACTCAACTCATGAAGTTCCACAACTCAGTAAACTTGGAATTAGGAAGGACTAGTCCTCAGGTAGCGAGCGTGGTTTGGGCAATCACAGGAAGCAGCTTTGGACTTACTTACTCTTGCAAAGCTTCACTTCAAGGTTTGTGTTATTTAATTTTTTTATTTGGAGGTTTTTATAATAGTGTATACTATAAAAATTTAAGCCAAAAATCATTCAAAAAATTCTTAGTAGGAACTGAAGTCTACTCAAAAGTTTTTGATACTTTAATCAGATGTTGCATTCTTCCTATAAATTTTCTCAGCATATTCTGACAGGAAAACCCTTCCTTGTTAACGAATGTAATGTTAATGAATGACATCTGTTACTTCCCATTCTGCATCTCAGAGAGGCATGCATTGGCCAAAGTCATGCACTGGCCAGTGTCAGTTACGTACATTCCTCCCACTGTTTGTGAGGTACAAACATATTATACAAAGACTTATCTTTCCAACTCAGGATTCTGAAGTTAGAAAACCACAGTCAATATGTGACTGTAAACAGCACAATTCCACTCTTGTGGCCACCGTGGATATCAGGTTGAAGGAATTTGGACTGCAAAAAAAAGGAAATGTGTGTTTAAATACACTCATGACATAATTAAGGCAAGACTAAGAAATTATCCAAAGCACATAAGTAACACACTGTCATCCTGTAGCAAGTGTAAGGATCCATTCTAACAAAAGCTTTCTGTGTTTCATTCTTGAAAAACTGGGGGTGGGGACTAGAGATTATAATTCATCCTAGAACTATATAACATAAGTAAATTAACAATAAAAATGATAAATTGGGCAATAAAAAAGATTACAGAAATAATGCTTTCACATATTGGACATTCATTAAATTGACTTCCAAATGTAATTACTTTAACATTTCTACGTCTGATTCAGTACAGATTTTTGGATCATTAAATAAGATAGTAAATATTATACTTCCTTCAAGGAAGATAATTTATGACCGAGCAAATTTTCCAACAGGGACTAAAAGTGATGACAATCAGACCAATTTTGTTCATAATAATTTCTTGGACCTCAGATAATTCTTCAAAATTATCTCACCAGATATGTATTGTACATCACTCTGTACAAGCCCCTAAAAAATAGCACATAATGACATATAGGAAACCTCATCCTTCTGTAGTCCCATGGGATTATCTAGATATTTTGCCAATACATTATTTAATATATAATCTATCTTTACACATCATAATATAATGGTTATTTTCAGCACAAGTTTTTATTTCCAACTAAACTACAGTGGAAATGTTAGACCCTCAAAAACACATGAGACTTAGGCCCAAAAATGTGAAAGTATCAAGATAAATGTCCATAGAGGGATATAAGGAAATAGAGGATAAACAAGGTAGAAAGCTTCAAGGAGACAGCATTTGATCTGGGTCTTCAGAATATAGGAATTCAGCAAACAATGAAGTAGGTACAGACCTTTCAAGGCAAGAAAATGAGTCATGTTCAGGCATGAGGAAGTTCACCTCATACACTTACGGGAGTGAGCCTTGCTCCTCTGAAAGAAATTTAAGCAGAGGAATTCATATCATCTGGGGACTGTCTAGCAATGCAGAGCCTTTGTTTTGACCTTCTGAATTTAATCATCATCTTAGCCATATGCCCATGTGGTTTTGTGTAAAATATTGACTGACTAAAGGCATAACACATTAGCTTTTAGGACTTACGTGAGTATGGTGCTGGAAGCTCATGCTGCTAGAAAAATGGGACAGAAAGAATATAGGGACACAATCAGAACACAGTTTTTAGGAGTCTGCAATTCCTACCAGAGGCATGGGGCACTACCCAAGCCACCCTAGGAGAGTCTTCTAACAGGCAAGTGGTTCGCTGACTCTCTGGTCCTAAACAAAGACAGTAGGAACTGACAGAATGGACCATGTCCCAATGACATGACTCCAAAGGATTGCTAGGACTTTCCAACAGTTGTAAGAGGCCATGATCAGGGAAAGGGGACTGGGCAAAAATGGGTGCTTCAGGAGGTACTAAGTTCCAACACAAGTTCTATGGTTTAAGTTCCACATGGGTAGTAAGTTGTTAGAACTGTGAAAAGAAAGACATTTCAAGATAGGGATAACAAATAACTCAATTGTCATTTCAACACCCATAACTTACTTATCTAGTCATTCTTTGGTTGTGATGGCTGCTAAAATGCTGATAGCCCTATGGGAACTGAGGAAATTTTGAGTCTCTACAAAGACTCTCATTGCTTAAGAAGCTGAAGACAGAAAGATCAACCGAGGAATACATAATAACACCATTCAGTTGGAGATCAGTGCTACTGCTATAGAGGTGTGGCAGCTCATCAGCAAGTCAGTGGGCATTTTCAAAAGGAAAGGAAACTATGAATGAATGCCTTCAAGACACTGGGAGAAGGTAACAACTGGGAACGAACTCGATGAATTTCACTATTTTTAACAATTTATATATTTTGCTTCATTGTCTTTCAGAAGAAAAAAAGTCATCTTGATAATGTCTTACAAATCTGTGACTTTTTCCATGGTTTACATATTCTCACAAATTGGTACATCACTTCCATACAGTTCTTCTAGAAGGGATGGAGCAGACTTTACAGATTAAAATAAAAAACAAAGCAGCGCCCGGAGATCCCGTGTCTGTGTCTTGCTTCAACAGTGTTTGGACGGAGCACACCCGGGGCCTCCCTTTGTTAGCGTCCAGCGGCCCCCCAGTGTCTCCAGTCGCAGCCTCTGGGACCATCTCGTCACCGCCTTCGGCTCCCAGGACCAGCCAGCACCGCGATTGGCTCCACTGCATATCAGCCATGAGCTCCCAGGTCCGTCAGAATTATTCCACCGAAGTGGAGGCTGCAGCGAACTGCCTGGTCAACTTGCACCTGCGGGCCTCCAACACCTACCTCTCTTTGGGCTACTATTTTGACCCGGATGACGTGGCTCTGGAGGGTGTCGGCCACTTCTTCCGCGAAATGGTGGAGGAGAAGCGCGAGGGCACCAAGCAGCTGCTCAAGATGCAGAACGAACGTGGAGGCCGTGCACTATTCCAGGATGTGCAGAAGCTGTCTCAAGATGAGTGGGGTAAATCCCAGGAGGCCATGGAAGCTGCCTTGGTCCTGGAGAAGAGCCTGAACCAGGTCCTCTTGGATCTTCATGCCCTGGCTTCTGCTCGCACAGATCCTCACCTCTGTGACTTCCTGGAAAACCACATCCTGGATGACGGGGTGAAGCTCATCAAGAAGATGGGCAACCACCACACCAACCTCCGCAGGGTGGCTGGGCCGCAGCCAGCACAGACCGGTGTGCCCTGGCCATCTCTGGGCGAGTACCTCTTCGAGAGGCTCACTTTCAAGCATGACTAGGAGGCGTCACCTTCCAAGGGCTTCCTCTGCTCTGCACCAGCCAGCCTCAGCACCTTCACCCGAACCTCTAGGCAGCTTTGTTAACCGCTCTGGAGTCCCTCCCAAGTCTCGGGACCAAGTGAAAATAAAGCATTTTGAAATAGCAAAAATAATAATGATAATAATAATAATAAAAAAATAAAAAACAAAACAACTTTTAAATAGGTAGGTGACTTAGTCAACATCCCATGTTCAAAAACTGTAAGATTCCTGATGTTATAATTGACTGATGGACTAACAGATGACTTAATCCTTACATGATAAATTATTAAGTAAAATTTGCTGAGTTCATAAATGAGATGACTTCAGACAGGTCTCAGAACATGAGCTTCACTGGGTTAGGTTAAAGATGGCTGCAAGTTCCTTACTAATTACTCTTGGATCTAGGTTGGTGTCCTTGACTACACAGCCAACAAACTCTGGAGACAGTGATAAGCGATGCTTCATAACTCCTGTGATAGGGCTTAGGAGCCCTACCAGCTTGTGGGGTTGTTGTCTATTTTACTTCATTTAGGGGCTAGCCAGACAGCAGGCACACGTGAGCATTACAACCATCATATCGTGAGGAAGACCAACCACAAACCATGCTGAGAAGCTGCACAGAAAGACATATCCAACCTTTTTCAGCTGCTCTAGACCTGCCAAGACCTGTTTCAAGACATAAGAGTGAGGAGGCCTTCAAATTCTCCCCCACACTGCCGCTTCCATCAATATTCATTCCAGCATGCGATGAAATTACCATTTGACTACCAGATTACATTGTACACTGTTAGAGCAATCCATGTATTAGATAAGTAAGTTAGACCCAAGATTTCAAAAAGTACTATTTGTCTTTTTCTGATGTGTTGTATTACGTTGCATTGTGCGGCAACTAAAGGGTCTGTGTACTCCCAGGAAAACAGCAGTTATTTAATGATACCAAGTTAGAAACTTTTGAGGGTTGTCTTAGTTAAGGTTTTTATTGCTATAAAGAGACATCATGACCACGGCTGCTCTTTTAAGGAAACTTTTAATGAAGGGGGATCACTTAAGTTTCAGAGGTTCAGTACATTATCATGGTGGGGTGTAGCTGGAGAGTTTCTCTTCAGGTCCCGCCAAGTCCCGGCAGTCCCACAGCTCACTTATAAAATAAACACACAGACTCTTACATTATTTAAACTGTTTGGCCTAATGGCTCAGGCTTGTTGCTATCTAGTTCTTCTATCTTAAATTAACCCATTTCTATTAATATATATCTAGCCACGTGGCTCATGGCTTACCAGTACTTTACATCCTGCTCCTCATCGTGGCGGCCAGCAGCATCTCTCTGCCTCAGCCTTCCACTTCCCAGAATTCTCCTCCTTGTCTGTCCCACTTATACTTCCTGCCTGGCTACTGGCCAATCAGCATTTTATTTATCAATCAATCACCCACAGCAGTGGGGAGCATGGTGGCATACAGGCTGATGTGGTGCTGGAGCTGAGAGTATTACGTCTTGCAAGCAATAGGAAGTTGACTGGCAGACACACTGAGTGAAGCTTGAGCAGAAGAAACCTCAAAGCCCACCCCCACAGTGACACACTTTCTCCAACAAGGCCACACCACCTGATAGTGCCACTCCCTTTGGGGGCCATTTTCTTTCAAACCATCACAAGGGGAGATCTGCCTAGTGGAATCTAGTCAATTTAAAACTGCTAGAGATATTAATAAAGTATTATTTTTAAAATGTTGAGCTTAGCAGTGTTTCTTAACAGCAGCTGTGATCTGGCATATTTGGGATTTTTTGTTTGTTTCTTTAGTTAGTTAGTTTTTTTTTCTTTAGTGATGCTTTTTGAAAAAGATATTAGATAAAATAAAATATAGATACCAACTAAGAGAATGGCTAAATTTTTTTCTTTTCTGAGTATTTTATATAATAATCACATAAATTTCCATATAATCTGAAGGATGATTTTTTCCCCAGGTATAATGACATTTAGTTTTGAGTTATAATGTTCTGAGAAAACAACAAAGAGAGTGCTCACTGTCATTAGAGACCATCAGTTCAACTCTTCATTTCTGTGAGTAAAAAGAGAAGGAGCACAAAGGTAGCCTGTGATTTATAGAAACCCCTGCAAACTCACTAACAAAACCTGAAACTCCCAGGCCAGGTATCTAGATTTGCTGTTGAGTCTTTCAGAAGACATTAAAAAAAAATCAATATTCCAGAAGGTGACAAAATTGCCATGGTATCATTTGACTACTGGGATTATATTTTATACAGTCAGATTAACCCATGTATTAGGGAAATTTAATCCAAAATTACAATTTCAAAGGCAGTACTATTTATTTCTCTGATGTGCTGTGTTTCATTGCATTACTTGGCAATTAAAAAGCAGGTGTATTCTTAGAAAAACTAATCTACAGAAATCAGGAGGAAAAAATGGTTGCCTACAGGGTGACAAGGAGAAGGGCCCAAAAATAATATAAAAGAACCTTGCTAGAGCTATGGGAAAGATACACATTGTGATTTAGGTCTGAATTATATGTGTTTATATAATAATGAAACAGAGCTGTGATCAATTTGTGGGCATTTTCTTGCATATAAATTACTTTTTCCCTCCCTAAAAATCTAGTAATAACAATGGTGCTGGAGAATTGAATGTGTAGTAAATGCTCACTGTGAAAGCAGGAGAACTGGAATTCAGATACTAGATCCCATATGAAAGCTGAACGGGTGTGGTGACCCACCTATGACCTCAGTTCCAGAGAGGCAAAGACCGAGCTGCCTAGCCAGACTAGCTGCAATAATGAGTTCCAGGTTCAGTGTGAGATGCCTGCGTAATACAGAAGGTAGAAAGCAATCAAAGAAGACATCCAAGGTGTCTTGGCTCTCCATACACATGCACACGCATGTCCGCCAACGCACCTGTGACTACCCATACAGATCACACATGTATACGAAAAGTAACAATGAAGGAGAGTTTGTTCTCCAAATGAGGAGATGACTTGTCAGCAATTGTTTTCTTGGCAGAAGATGGCTTGCATTGCTCAGTTTCTCTGTTTTCCGGAGTTGAATGGGTAAGGTGAAGGACATACAAATGTGGTTATAAAATAAAGTACTACTAACAGCCACTCAGAGGTTAGACATATGTGACCACAGAACATGAGTGTTGGAAAGGATACAATAAATCATCCCCTTTACTTTATTTTGTAGATAACCTCGGCCTTGTTGACAAACCTAACTCAACCCTGCTGGTAAATGAACATGATGGGCCATTGTTGATAGAACTTGAGCAGCTCATTTATCCAGTTGAATCAAGAAGGTACCTAAAACTGGGTTAAATCTGGTGTTAAAAAAGCAAGCAAGCAGCACAGATAACATAAGCATTGTAGTTGAACTGAAACATGATTCTTATTTTTTCTTCAGGGTTTTGTTGAACAGCCAAGGCCTTTTATCCCCTCCAATGAGTAGATGTGCTAATTGGAAGTTTGAACAGCTTACTGTAGCAAAAGAGACACATGGCAACACCATGGGGAAAGAAGAAACTCTGCACCAAATCTCACCTGTGGTACCTTTGGGCAACTGAAGAGCTCCTCTGTACCTCCGTTTCCTTTTTTGTCTGATGAGATCTTACCTCTTCCATGGACAGTTATAAGAATTAAATGGGATAATATTCTAAAGCCTTTGGAATAGCACTGAGTTCATTCCAAGTGCTAAAGCATGGGCTTCCTTTATTCTCTGTGGTGGTTTGAATGAGGCTGGCCCCCGTAGGCTCATATATTTGAAAGCTTAGTCACCAGGGTATAGAATAGCTTGGGAAGGATTAGGAGGTGTGGCCTTGTTGGAGGAGGTGTGTCACTGGGATTAGGCTTTGAGGTTTCAAAAGCCCATGATATGCCCAGTGTATTTCTCTCTGTCTTCTGCCTGCAGATTAGGATGTAAGCTCTCAGGCCCATGCTTGCCTGCAGGCTGCCTGCCATGATGATAATGGACTAACCCTCTAAAGCTGTAGGCAAGCCCCCAGTCAAATGCTTTATAAAAGTTCCCTTGGTCATGGTGTCTCTTCAAGTGATGAAATGGTAACTAGGATGCCTTCCTTCCCTTTCTATAGTCACATTCAAATTAAGAAATCCCACCCGACTCCCATGGCCTTGTGGTCCCACAGCCGCTCAGACCCAAATGAACACACAGAGGCTTTTATTAATTACAAACTATATAGCCTATTGGCTCAGGCTTCTCACTAGCTAGCTCTTACATCTTAAATTAACCCATTTCTATAAATCTATACTTTGCCACATGGCTTGTGGCTTACCAGTACTTTACATCTTGCTTCTCATGGTGGCAGCTGGCAGTATCTCCTCTGTTCTCCCTTTCTCCTTCCTCCTCTCTAGTTGGAATGTCCTGCCTAACCCTATTCTGCCTCACTATTGGCCAAACAGCTTTATTTATCAGTCAATCAGAGCAACATATTTTCACAGCATACAGAAGGACATTTCCCCCATCAGAAGGTTAGCATTCTTTGATGCTGTGTTACTTCCTCGGTTTCTTGGAGAAATAAAAACTCTTGTAGTGCGTCAGCCTGCATTCTTGGCTTCATTTCTGTAGAAGATGAAGGATTTCCCCAGTGTTTCCTTCCGTTCATTTCAGTGTTCTGTCCACCTCATTGACAGCATGTATTTGGCTTTGTTTTGTAACAAATTAACTTTATTAAATCTTTTCTCTGCACTACATTTCTTCCAGAGAAATAGTATTATCTCCTGATGTTCAAATTGAGCCCCTTGGGACAATATTTATTAAATAAAATAATAAAGATCGGAAGAAAAATTTGCAAACTACAAGCTCATGTCTCCAAAAGAATCAAAGAAACACAGAGAAATAAAGTTAATTCACAGAAGCAGTGCTGCGTTGTGTGAATCTGGCCCCTTGGAAGCAGCCCTCCTCTGGGCACCAGCAGAGAGATGCTCCTGGGCCCAGCTCTGTGTTCTACAGAGATGTGGAC